GGCTGGTCTTCGGGCGGCGTTGGGCGGGGTGGCGGGTCTGGGGGAGCGCCATGCTCTGGTCGGCCTCGGCCTGCACCCCGGGCTCCACTCTCGGCTCTCCATTGCATCCAATCTCGGTCTTTCTCCCCTCCCCAGAAGTAAGCAGTTTATCTGTTGGGTGTCCTCCTGGTTTTTATAGTAACACACCAATATATGTATAAGCAACTAACTGATCAGTACGTGAAATACCATGCCGCAAGACAATAAAAACACAGGCTGCAAGTCCTACGTACTTTCTGTTGGGACATGTGTGTGTACATACATAAATATATACCTATAGAGCAGTGGTTCTCAACCTTCCTAATGCCGCGACCCTTTAATACAGTTCCTCATGTTGTGGTGACCCCCAATTTCATTGTTACAAATTGAACATAATTAAAGCATAGTGATTAATCACAAAAACAATATGTAATTATATATGTGTTTTCCGATGGTCTTAGGCGACCCCTGTGAAAGGGTCGTTCGACCACCAAAGGGGTCGCGACCCACAGGTTGAGAACCACTGCTATAGAGCATCTTGGCTCAGTGGTTGAGCATCGACCTATGAACCAGGAGGTCACAGTTCCATGCCTGGGTTGCTGGCTCAGATGATTCTCTCTCATCACTGATGTTCTATCTCTCTCTCCCTTCCTCTCTGAAATCAATAAAAACAAACAACTTTTAATTTAAAAATATATGCATATATAAATTTATAACATATACTTATACATACATATAAATATATTCATATGCACATACATAGACATATATGCACAAACTTTACGTCTCATATATGCATACAATCATGCATACAAACCCAATACATATATGTATATGTTCATATATATGTTTTAATATATTTTTTATTGATTTCAGAGGGGAAGGGAGAGATAGAAACATCAATGCTGAGAGAGAATCATCGATCAGTTGCCTCCTGCACACCCCACACTGGGGATTGAGCCCGCAACCTGGGCATGTGCCCCCGACGGAAATCAAACCTGGGATCCTTCAGTCAGCAGGCCGACGCTCTGTCCACTGAGCCAAACCAGCTAGGGCTATCCATATATTTTTTATATATTTACATATAAGTATCCCCACAGAAGAGACATTATTTGGGGTTTCTGTTTTTATTGTCTTACAGTATGCTATTTTACATATTGTTCAGCAACTAGCCTTTTGCTGGCTCTTTGAGAGCTACCCACCTTAAAGTAGGTGCATTCTTCTTCATTTTTTTCATTTTGCTTCATGGTGTCTCTCAATCCACTTACTCAGAGCTGTTGGAAGAGAGGTTAGGAACCAAGAGGAAATGTTTTGAGATCTCTGCCTCATGTTCCTACCTGTGAAATGAAAGTATTAATAGTACGGCACTCCTGAGCTGGGTGTAGGTTGTCAGTGAGTTAAGGTAGATAAATCACATAGAAGAGTTATGTGGTCTGTTGAGTCTTTGGGTAACTTTTAGTCCTTCTAGAATTTTGCCAGAAAGAGTTCTTCTGAAAGTGTGTAATTGTGTATCTTCCTCACGCATCCAGGTGAGGTATACATTACACCTCCCTTCTCTCCAGTTCTCCCCTCTGCTCCTCTCCTTGAAACCTGCAGTGTCCTCAGAATGTAAATGTTGGATATGGTACATTAAAGTTGGTGCAGCCACAGAAGGAAACAAGGAGGAGGTTTGGAAGGGATACATTTATTTTACTCTGAGGTCCCAGAGTAGGGGGGCACCCCCTGCCGCGCAGGGCCACAGGGGAAACACCAGGATTTGGTCAGGTGGCAGAAGACAGGAGAGAGGGGATAGCCTGAGCCAGAGCCCATATTGGAGTTTCCATGGGAAAGGAAGGCATAGCAGAGTAAGCCATTTAGGACTGGCTAGTTGGAATAATTCCAGCAGGCTCTGGACCAGCCGTGGGCAAAGGCCCGTTTGAAATGAATAAAACTAAAAAAAAAAAAAGACCGTACCCTTTTATGTAATGATGTTTACTTTGAATTTATATTAGTTCACACAAACACTCCATCCATGCTTTTGTTCCGGCCCTCCGGTCCAGTTTAAGAACCCATTGTGGCCCTCGAGTCAAAAAGTTTGCCCACCCCTGCTCTGGACCATAGGGGTGGACTCTAGTTGCCTGGTACCCGGCTGGCCCTTGTGTGATTTGGGGCAGGGAGTTAGAGAAGGAGGTAGCTGGGTTTGTAGACTTGGATGGGTTGGTTTCCGTTGCTCTATGAAGACCTTTGCTATCTCTAAGAATGGGCTAGCCCTGGGAGGGACGGTCTCTTCCGACCAGCAATCTTTTTAAGATGTCGAGCCGAAACCGGTTTGGCTCAGTGGATAGAGCGCCAGCCTGTGAACTGAAGGGTCCTGATCATCCAGGTGAGGTATACATTATGCCTCCCTTCTCTCCAGTTCTCCCCTCTGCTCATCTCCTTGAAACCTGCAGTGTCCTAAGAATGTACATGTTGGATACCTCTAAGCATGGGCTAGCCCTGGGAGGGACAGTCTCTTCCGACCAGCAATCTTTTTAAGATGTCGAAACATCGTAAAATACGGAAAAATTTAAAAACATTATTATATGCAAATCTGGTTCCTTCTGCCCAGAACACTCCCCTGCCCCAGCCCCCACTTCACCTGACTTCCTGTTACTCCTCCCTTCCGTCTGCAATGAAAGGTGACTTGGTACATAATAACATACTGCCTTTATTCGCTGGCTAGAGCCGCCACAACCACGCGCTACGGACTTGGTGGCTTCAACAGCAGAAATGAATTTCCTCGCAGTTCTGGAGGCTGCAAGTCCAAGATCAATCAAGGTGTCAGCAGGATGGGTTCCTGCTGGGGCTGCCAGGGAGAATCTGTCCCAGGCCCCTCTCCTGGCTACTGGTGTTTTGCTGTCAATCCCTGGTGTTCTGTGACTTGTAGAAGTGTCACCCCAATCTCTGCCTTAATCGTCACACGCAGTCTCTGTGTGTGGGGGTGTCTGTGTTCAAATTTCCCCCTTTTATAAGGACACCTGTCATTGGACCGAGGCCCATTTTAAGGACCTCATTGTAACTTGATCACCTCCATCAAGCCCCCGTCTCCAAATAAGGTCACATTCTCAGGTAGTCGGGTTAGGACAGTGGTTCTCAACCTTCTGGCCCTTTAAATACAGTTCCTCATGTTGTGACCCAACCATGAAATTATTTTCGTTGCTACTTGATAACTGTAATGTTGCTACTGTTATGAATCGTCATGTAAATATCTGATATGCAGGATGGTCTTAGGCGACCCCTGTGAAAGGGTCGTTCGACCGCCAAAGGGGTCGCGACCCACAGGTTGAGAACCGCTGGGTTAGGACAACAACATACCTTTTTGAGGAAACACAATTAAACCAGAACATTCCTCTCACAGTTTTCCTTTCACCCCACTATGCTAATGCCTCCCACTGTGCAATTCTTCGCACTGGTATCTACCCCCACAGCATTTAGCACACTTTGTGGTAGGTGTTACTTATTTGAACCATGTCCTTCCCCTCCCTCCGTGTCCCCTCCCCCATAGAAACATAATGGGAATCCCATGTGTACGAGCACTGTTGATATGTCTCTAGACTGCTCATCAGTTTTGTCTGTGTCATGCACACTTTCTTATGTTCATAGAATACTCATACACACTTCCTTGTGTTCATAGAATACTCAATGGAAAATTGATAAATGAAGGAGTAAACTGTTTGTGGGGGAAGATGGCCAGTGTGCATAGCTGCACTCATAGCTTAATGTGTTTCTTGCCTAGAGAGCATTTATGACATTCTTACTAATTTCCAGAAGAAATTCTCTTGGGATTCATTACATTACACTTGTAACTTAACTAAAAGGCATTATGTATGTACCCTGTAAGCAATGTATTATGTTCTAGAAAGATTCCCTTTGGAATAAATTTCATCACAGTTGCTATCTAATTTGGGGACACATGACACCTGTTCAATATTGAGCTACATGGCCCCTCATTCAACAAGTCTTCTTGGTGATGTTTGATCATGTTCTTCATTTAAGTTCTACAAGTTATTCCAGCTTATTATTTATGATTTACTCTTTTGTTTCAGCCACTGTTGTATGAGTCACTGATTATAACATTTTCTAAGTTGTTATTGTTGATACATGGAGATCAGTTAACTTTACATATGTATCTTTTTAATTCATTCAACCTTTTATACTCTAATTGGGTTTCTATTGATTATATTGATTCTTTCTCACACCTTATTTTTATTCCTGTTTCTTTACATTGGTCCAAAAAAACAAGAACTATATCTAATCATTATGGAAATAACACACTTTACAGTTTTGTTTCTGAATGGTAGAAATTAAAGTTAAGGTGTTATATCTTTCTTTGTATTATTAGTCAGCCAGCTAAATCTTTACTTCTTAGTAAGCATGTTTTCATAACTATTTCTCATTCCTCATGTCCATCATCCCTGCCCTTTTCTCGGCTTTTGTCTTCTGTCTTCTGTGTCATTCCCTTATGTTCATGGGAAGGTTGTAGTCCCTGACTCAACTGAAATTATCACTCTCAATTTCAACATCTGATGGATGACAAAATAACACGAAGTCGCTTTGACATATAGTTTTCACCATTTTTCCACGAAAGTGGTGAA